TTTAGCTGATGGAACAGTCAACACTGGCCAATCATGTTCGTACACATAAACTGATCTATCGCTAGTTCTGATTAAATCTAATCAATTGCCACATTTATTGCTGGTAACATGCTCATCAATAACACTTCCGCTTTTCTTTCGGTAGCTTCCTGGCTGAATCGTTTTAGTTACTGAATTTTCATTTAGCTGTGCAATATAAAATTGTATATCAAGCGTTTGTTATTTTGCAGTTCTACGGTTGATTATTTGTTGGTATGTATTGTATGTTATTCAATCAATGAGTGAATATTGCCATTCTATAACATGGTCGGTGTCGGAAATCATAATTTTTATTTTTTTAAGTGAAATCAGTGCTGGACAGATCAACGAAATATAACAAAAAAAAAAGAAGAAATATGTTTCCATCTTACTCATATGGCTCTATCAAATATTGAAATTCCGCTAAGCTCACAAGTTGGTCACAACAAGATGACGAAGTTGGTTTCAGCTGGTAGAGAAACGTAACAGATTTTGTTGAAATAACATTTAGCTCGCCAAAATGATTGTCCGCTGAAAGTGAGAATTTATCGTCATCCATTGTCAGGAATACTGACCCCTTTTAGCAGGGTGACGAAGTTGCCAATCAGCTGCTAGGCATTAACACGTAGCTTCATGCACATTCTCACTTATTGGTGTCGATTAATCATTTTGTAATCATGTGTGAGCTTCTGTGCCAGTGTGCTTATGAGTAATGTGTCAAGGTTCGCCAGGGAATTTTCTTGCAAGGAAAGGTTTACAATTGCTTACCTTAAATCTTCACGGATTTTATAAAGTGTATGGTACAATGGGGTTTATAACGGATGTCACTTCACGGTGAAAACTTGTCACTTGTCGTCACGGTGAAGTGATTCCCATTTGATTTGTACGGCAATCACGGCTCTTATTCTGAGTATTATTTCCTTATCACCATGTAGTGACACACGTAATAAGGCCTTTTGCCTTTCTCAATCGAAAAATTGATCGTTAATCCAAGGCGTTGGGAGTTCCATGTCATATAACAATCCAGCTCAGCTGGATAAGTTGTGAAAATCTGCATGAAACTTCCAACAGAAATTTATAAGTGCCACATATTACGCTATTTAATATCTCTGGCATCGGTCTACTGGTCCCAGCGATATGTCCGGAACATATTTTGATACTGATAATGACTTGAAATTCTATGCAAAATAAATTTTAAGATTATAAATAACTTGTTAAGTAAGTATACTCTAGACTGAACCATAATCAGAAATCATAATTAAGTTCATAAGATTATGATGGCGACACTCGGACATGTTCCTGGTGTTCCCGGGGAGATGATAAAACTTTGACATGAGATCATTGACCTTACGTGGAACTAACGAATCGATCAGACGCGATATTTTCTGATCTTCATAAAAAATTTCATAATTGCTCGATATGGGCAAACACTCAAATATGTGCTGAAATTTGGTCATTATGACTTATTTATTTTTTAAGTTGCCGTATATATATGCAAGACCCAAACGTCATGAATATATGCCACTAGCGTAGTGTTATCAATAGACATGCCTGCTTCTCTATTGTAAATAAACAGACATAAATTCAATAGTTCGCATGCCTCTGCCATGGCAAGATATTCCGAAAAACGACCGTGTTTTATTTTCGCCATCTTGTGAACGAATCAACGTAGGGTCCTACCGTTGCACGAAAATATGTCTTCGAATTTAAATAAAGTCTGAGACCAACTTAACATACTGTTATTCAAATCACTCTCTCTTTACCTTAATTACCAGCCACATATTTTGCAAATGCACCCCAAAACACCAAATCGCTGAAATTCAACAAAAGATCAGCAAACTTTCCAACAAAATAATGGGTTATGAATTTTACAGCAATTCCAACTTCTGTCAAAATGAAAATATTTGACTGAAAATCAGCTAATCTTTCAGCAAAATTTTAAGCAATAAGCAATAAACAATGTTGAAATTAGGCAGCATTTTGCTGATTAAACTATTAAACTCAGTAAATCGAATTTGTTTTCACTTGGGACTTCTAGCTTCTGTAAAAGATCGTTGATACAAATATACAATTAATAAAGACAAAATCGCCAGGCTCTTTTCCATGTATGAATTTGAGTTCATTTACTCGAGAAAAAGTGACACAAGCTACGGGCAATGTTTACTAATCATGAACACTAAATGTTCCTTATTCATTATTCATGAACATTTAGTGTTCATGATTAGTAAACATTGCCCGCAGCTTGTGTCACTTTTTCTCGAGGGAGTGAATTCAAATCCATCGGTGCACTCGTCCATAATTAAATATAACCAGTGTCCGAGCCAGTGTCCTTAGGGCATCTTTAGCGGTGGTCTGATCTGTATCCAAATTTTTGTCACATTTGATCCAGCTTAAATTAAAAAAAGATCAAGCCAAAATAGATCAAACTGTGTGCGTACGCACCGGTTGGACTATTTTTGGTCGTTCTATTTCAAACGTCAAAACCCGAGTCAAAACCAACTCACACCCTGATTTCATGGTCAGTCATTTTTTAATCTCGTGCGCATTCGTACACGGTTTTTATCCGGCAATTACCGTGAAATTGACCTCCGATGGCTGTCTCCGGGATTGATGTGCGGCTTTAACAAAAAGCCTTGAACTGCTCGTCCTCCTGCTCTTCATGCTTCCCAGTGAAATAATAATTAAAACCCGTATTTATTGAAATTTGTCTGGTATGTTGTTGCGTGTTGGGCTTTGGCCCAAGTCAGAAACTGGATAATTCCCTGGGGGGGTACCCGGAACATAACCGAATATGGCCAATGTGGATCTGGGCACTATATTTGACTTAAAATGATTTTATTTTTTTTTTATTTCTGTGAGGTTTGACACTTCACAGGTTTTAGACCATATCAGAAACTAGTCACTTCCCTAGGGGTTCCTGAATGATGCTTGGAAGTAAGAAAGGTGGTCTTGGGCACATTATTTGACGTCCATTGATCTTGGTTTTGCAATCTAATGTGATTTGCTGTGTGGCACATGATGGGTTTTGGATTAAATCAGATACTGGCCATATCCTTGGATGTGCCCGGAACATATACGATAGGGGTCAACATGATTCTGTGCACTATATTTGACTACCATTGATATTGCTTTTGAAATCTAATGAGATTTGATGTGTCACATGATGAGTTTTGGACAAAGTCAGAAACTGGTCACTTCCCTGGGAGTTTCCAGAACATGCCTGGAAAAATCCTGCAGAACAGAAGCGTCCGGATGTCTCTCTTGTGATCCTTTTGCAGCTGCGATGACAGGGCCGGCAGCAACAGCAGCACCGATAGCGCGATAGAGCTGGAACTACACCAATGTCAACAGCAGTCGATTGTTTCGTCCACGTTTCTTAGAAAATCGACGATTTTGCTGAAAAAACCTCAACAACGAAACAAAACAAAACAAAATCTCGATAGCTACAGCTGTCAAACTAGTTTGGAACAATGCTTGCCTTGATCCAAATTCAGTTCAAAATAGATCGAGAATTATACTGGTTTGAAAAAATTACATTTTAGAACTAGTCTAAAACAAAATATAGACCACCAGTGCAAGGGCTCGGTCTGGGTCTGTTCCAAAATTTTAGACCAAACCAACCAATTGGATCGCCGCTAAAGATGCCCCAAGGGCTTGGTCTGGATCTGTTCCAAAATTTTAAACCAAACCAACCAATTGGATCGCTGCTAAAGATGCCCTCAAGATGCCCTTACCTACATAATTTGTAGTTTTGGACGGATTTTAACGAATGCAAAATACTTCCGACTGTGATGCTATCAATTTGATAGCTCTTAACTTGGGTGTCCAGCAATCGTTTATGTGAGCTGAATTTCTCGGTAAGAAATATAGTTTGCTGTTTTTCAGTAAAGCATTTGATTGCTGATCATAATTCAGCAATCCGTTTAACTGATCTTAAAATATTAAATTTCCTGTGTACAATAACTTTGTAGAACATTGAAAAAAATTATAAATTTAAACTAAAAACTTATGGTAAAAAAAGGTTTTTAAGGGGGTACTAGCGTAAGTACTCCATTTTCACCCTATAACTTCGTCCATTTGAGAGATATAAAATTGATGTCTTGGACAAAGTTGCTTTAAATGACTTTATCTACAATGTTTCCATAGATGTTCATCATTTTCAACAATACATAAAAAAGTTATTTAATTTTATCTTAGTGTATACCCCCCTTAATCATATATGTTCACTTCTTAATTAAAGTACTCAACAAATGAAGAAATATTCTAAAAAACATCAAAATGCTACACTCAATAGTTTCGTCTCAAATAGCCATATCCCACTATTTTTGATTTCGCCCCACTGTCCGGGGCATTGTTGTCAATGTCAATTGACGTAAGATATTGGTCTAGCATTGAATTTCATTTCCGACACTGATATTCATAGTAAGCATGATATTAGGTGGTATGGCTTTTACATTACTATCCATATGAATATCATTTTTGTACAACCGTTGCATTGTTTTAATAGTACTGATGAGTTTTCTGAAGATCGGTATTCGATTAGCTGGCGTATAGAGGAGTAGCGCTTAAATCCAGCGTAGATGAATTGGGTTCGTTTTAAAAATCTTCGCTGTTACGTACGAGCGGAATGAACAAATTAGTTCATTATACATCAACAAATGCGTGTTTGTTGATATTCACCAGTACTTGATTATCAAACATACAATTGTCAAAATCAGAAGCAATCATCAAAAGCAAAATAATCAATATCATTTTGAGCAAAACGATTATTTTGAATATCGCCAATACTGCCTAATACCCTGGACAGACTATGGCTTATATCATGTAATATAGGCTGTCTTGCAATGAGCACTCATACATAGGATTTCCAGTGAAAACTAGATGTATGAGTGCTCATTGCAAGACAGCTTATATTACATGATATAAGCCATAGTCTGTCCAGGGTATAAAACATCGATATTATCATCAATTCAACTTGAGGCAATAATTTGCTATCGATCTGTGTGTAAAAACCAACACGATACGTTCTTCAGCGCTACATTTGTGTAAAATGAAAATAATCATTTTGCATTTGATCCTCAAAATCATCCCCACCATGATGAAGACGAATATTAATATTGACAACAACAGAAGCGATAATGAAAATCCAGCCACGAGTGAAAAATGTTGACTTCGATACTCAGAGGTTGCCTTGATCAAGAGAATGTTGTTATGTCCAAATTCAAATTCAATCAGGTAGTTGGTCTATCTGTTAAGGTTGTCTTCATTTTCAGCTAAGTTGAGTGTAGAAGAAATGGTTTTTATCAGCATTGTATATAAGATAAAATTACGGTAGAGCTTAAAATATCAGTGGTCCTTTAACGATGTCAATGTCAATTGCTGACTGACATTGAGGCGAATGATATTAGTATTCTAACTGTGTGAACTGATACTAACATCAGGTGGCTTGTGAAATTCAGCATTTTGTAGGTATTGACAATGAAGTTTTGCAGCACTGCTTTTCCAAGATTGTTGAGGTGCTGGTTCAGCTTCTTGTGATACTCAGCAATAAAAGCTCCGCTGACACGCGTTGGATGTATGAAACGGTTCAATCTCTTTTAATTTGCAACGGTCAATAAATGCACTCAAATTTTGCAAACCACGAGGTATATTGTTCAATATTGAGGAACCAGATCCACCTTGGCATCATTCTGAAATTGACTGACTTTTCTTCCCTGAATACGAATTTGAATATTTTTCTCAGAATTCAAGTTAGTAAAAAAATAGTTCAGATTTAATCATACATTGAAGTTTTGATTTACTTTTGCGGACTCCAATGCATTTTAAAATTTGCTCTACAAAATTATTTGAATGAAAAATTAAAAATAACTAGCGACAAATAAAATAAAAAAAATATACATATAATTCGCTAAATATTAAAAACATTTGACCTGTCCATATTTAGTACTTTTTGGCAACTGTTGAAAATGTGCATTTAGATTTAAAGTTATATAAACCAACTGAGCATATATGTATACCACCGATTTTTTTTTTCGTCACATCATTTTTGTATATTTCCTGAACACTTCCAGTAGGATATTAGCTATTCATATATTCCGTCCCCAAATAAGCATCCCATTCCACTGTCACTTACGTATTAAAATCCACCGATCCTTAACGCCTATCACTTAAGCACACTAGAGAGAAGGAAGCTATAGTAAAATGGAAAGGAAAAACCGAAACGGATCCAATCGAATTCGTCATCACAAAACAATGTCCTTATATATTTCCAATAGTGTACATAATTTCACGGCCTTTTTGTGAGCTTTTCAATTTTTGTGATTTCAATTTGATGCTTTAAAACTGTTATGTTCCAGTCTGTTTTTTTTTCTCCAGGGAGGGTAGTTTGCTACATGTGCTTTTGTTCGGGTGGGTGGGAAGTATGCTTATGCTTTCAACTGCTGCGGCTGCGTCCGAAAAAGGAAAGCTCACGTACATACAGACATGCTAAAGAAATGATATGCACTATTCAGAGATGGCCATAATGGGAGAAAGCTTTTCGATCGAACTTTCAGCATTTGACGACAAGCAGCACTGCAGCCGTTTCAGAGATAGAACTTGCTGGAATGTTTGAAATGTTCTCGTTCGGTGAACCTATAAAACTTGTGAAATTGATTTAATGAATCGGTCTTAATTGCTATTTCAACACTTAGTCCGCTAGAACGTCTGGAACGAAAATTTGAAATGAAGTATTAGTCGCTTTTTGATAGTGAGGCGGAGTTTGGTCCTTGATTATAAAGATCTTAACTCAAACTAAGCTAACGTGACTGTGGAAGCAAACACGTGTTTGGAACTAGAATACTTCAAAAATGGATTCAAACCTAGAACTAGAATAGTAAAAATATATCAATTCTACTTACATGGTAATAAGCGTTAAATACTTCTACTAACTACAAACTTTCTCAGTACGGTCTACGCTATAAATAGTGTTTATGCGGAAACGAAACATGCGAAAGAGATTGAATAGAAATGTATTATGCTGTTGCTTGATAGGTAAGGGGTAAAAACTTTACTTTTCATTGTTAGCAACACAAGCTGGGAGACTGTAGAAATGAGTTGTTCACTAGACGGAAGGATAATATGAAGCGATGTGACTTGCAGTTTTCGAAGCCAATTAAAAACTTAGTCAACGCTGAAATTTTCTTGCCAATCGTTAGAATAGATAGTGAATACCATTGATCGAGAGGAAATATTGCTACTGCAGCTAGTGATACTGGACAACGGATAGGTGAAAGCGAATAACTTTAAAAGCTATGAAGTAGAGTGTGTAAATTTTTCAAGAATAAATCATGCGTGCATATTGTGGCGTGTAGTTATTTCCTCATGCTCATGAGGGGATGGGAAAATCATTTTGTAGGGCGAAAATTTGAACCGTCTTAGTGCAGAAGTGCAAGACTTTAACTCTAATCCCCAATTAAGAGTGAATTTTGCTGAAGCAGTCTTAAGCGTAGAATTTTAAATTATGTTAATTCATATCCGCCAAGCGTCCTAAAAATTAACATTTACTGTTAAAAGTTTGATATTGTTTCAAGATAGATGGTTCATTTTTTTTTCTTTGGTTTGTTTTTTCCGTCGATCTTGTTTTCCGTGCTGAGCACCAATGCTACCGACGTGCCAGGAAGGCAGCTCCTACACCTGGACCCTACCTATCGACCCATCAACTCATGAACCGGGGACCAACGGCTTTACTTCCCATCCGAAGGAAGGCGTGATCAGAGATGTTATGCCTCAGAACATCCCGGTGGCGCCGACTGGGATTGAACCCAGGCCTGCTGGGGTGAGAGGTAATCACGCTTACCACTACACCACCGGCGCCGTTTAGATGGTTCATGTTTTCGGTAAAGTTGTTCAGTAGACTTGTGTTTCGGCCATAGTGGATATTTTGCTGAGGAATTCACAATTGTCGCACATGATGACGCTAGTAAGTAAATAAACACTGTTTTACATAATATCTCATAATCCTGATTATGTAGTAATATAATTTCTTCAGAAAAGCTGTTGAAGCTAGTGAATCCCTTCACCCGGGAAATAGGGTTTTTGATCTAATTTTCGTCCTACTAAGCACAACCCACGCTTTACCTCTCTTTTCTGAACGAGTTTAAACAAAAAATGGAATATTTTTGTCAGTGATGACTTTTAAATTTATTCACCTTTGCATACGTACCATTGGTTTTGATAAAGAGTCGCAAATTTTTGAGATATTGTTTAAAATCTAATACTGCTTCTTGATTCTAAATTCGTTCTACGAGTTTCAATTCCGTCCTAACGCATTAATAAGCCATTAGATTTTCTTCGTTCTACGGATAAACATAGAAAAAGGGGATTCGCTAGGAGCGCTTCTTTTGTTTTGAGAACAATGGACGCAAATATTCATACGATGCGCTCTAACAGGGTTTATGTTGTAGCTAATGAACTAACGCATCGGAACAAACCTATTATTGATTTGTGCACGATGAAATCATTGATTTTATTGATCTTTTCTGATCGATAGAATGGAAATGGGCGATTACGACGAAGTAGCGCTCTACCCTAATCCGATTCCATTTTCATGAATGAAAAATCATGAAATCAAAAAACATGTCATCCCATGAAATCATAACAATGATGATTATGATGGTCCCACCTCTTACCCCTACAAAGGTTTGAGCTGGACGATTTATATAAGATAATTACATATGACATTTTAACCAGGTTGGCAAACAAAATCGAACTGGTTTCAGTTACAGATATAAATTTCCTCTAACAATGAGGGAACAGTTAATGAACAATCAACAAAGGATCCTATTACACTAGCAACCTCGCAATATGATGCTATCATAGTTTTCAGCAATGTCAGGGATGCTCACGAACCCCCAACATTTGCCACTTACTACTTACTCAAGGTATCTTCCAAATAAGCTTCAAAATTGCATTTTTTTTATCAAATGTTAAATTCACTCCTCTTTATCCGTAATATGCGCGCGAGGCTCAAACCTTTATAGACTACTTTTTTTTTAATTAATCTTCTTTTAAATCAAATATTAAAAATCCATCATCACCCTCCTGGCGAACAGAAACAGTTTTTGCAGTGCTACAATAATTATTAAAAAGTCGTTATGACAGCTATCCATATAAAATAATCCGTTAGAGATAACTTCGTCAAGATTCATTATTTGTCAATTCATAAAAAAAATCACTGGATAACTGTTCAATAGACAGTTTTAACGTGTGAAATGTAGTGTCTTTTAAATTCTGTAAGTGTTGCTGAACGTTTGATATGTCTAGGCATCGAATTGAAAAAATTTATTCCTTTATAATATAATGAATTTTGTGAAGCACAAGTCAAGAAATGTGGAGTTCTTATTTCAACCGCGTTTCTAGTATAATATCTATTAAACTCACTTCCTCTTTCAATTCGATCACACAAATATCGAGGCAGCAAACCGTTAACTACTTTAAAAATGAACACCATAAAGGGTGATCGGTCAAAATTTGGTCAAGGGAAAACGCGTGTAAATCGGTGAAATCGTTTATTTAAAAAATCAAATTAAATTTCTTTTTCAAGTTCAATTAGTATAAAATTCAGGAAAAATATTCAGTTAGGCTTCCGCTTTTCCAAATCCGAATTGCCGGGCCTTACGCTTGACCCCTGCCATCAGATTTTGTACAGCCACCTTGTCCACCTTCTTCGCCGCAGAAAGCCAGTTTGCCTTGAACTGCTGCTCGCCCTTAGCAGTTTTTTTGGTCTTCTTTAGGTTCCGCTTGACAATAGCCCAGTATTTCTCAATTGGGCGGAGCTCTGGCGTGTTGGGAGGGTTCTTGTCCTTGGGAACCACCTGCACGTTGTTGGCGGCGTACCACTCCATGGCCTTTTTACCGTAATGGCAAGATGCCAAATCCCGCCAAAACAGTACGGAACAACCGTGTTTCTTCAGGAAAGGCAGCAGACGTTTATTCAAACACTCTTTCACGTAAATTTCTTGGTTGACAGTCCCGGAAGCTATGAAAATGCTGCTTTTCAAGCCACAGGTACAGATGGCTTGCCAAACCAGATATTTCTTTGCGAACTTTAACAGTTTCATGTGCTTGAAAACATCTGCTACCTTTCCCTTCCTTTTGCCGTATAAAACTCCTGTCCCGGAAGCTGCTTGTAGTCGGCTTTGACGTAGGTTTCGTCGTCCATTACCACGCAGTCAAACTTCGTCAGCATCGTCGTGTACAGCCTCCGGGATCGCGCTTTGGCCGTCGTATTTTGTTTATCATCGCGATTTGGAGTCACTACCTTCTTGTAAGTCGATAGTCCGGCTCGTTTTTTGGCTCGATGCACGGTTGTAGACGATACACCTAGCTTATTTGCGGCATCTCGGAGAGAGAGGTTAGGGTTTCGCTTGAAACTACCGGCAACTCTCTTTGTCGTCTCAGCGGCTTCCGGTTTTCGATTTCCCCCCGATCCAGACTTCCTGGCTGTCGACAAACGTTCCCCAAACACTTTAATTACATTTGTAACGGTTGATTTGGCAACTTTTAGTGATTTTGCCAACTTTGCGTGCGAGTAGCTCGGATTTTCGCGATGCGCGAGCAAAATTTTGATACGCTGCTCTTCTTGCTTGGACGGCATTTTGACAACTGAAGAGTGAATTCCAAAATCAAAATAGAAGCAACATTCTACACACACACACCTTCTAAATGAGGGGTGTTCAGGTTTTTTAAATGTAAAATTGAAAGAAATACGTCAAGTTGATATTGACCAAATTTTGACCGTATCACCCTTTAGTCAAATATACAATTCTTTGCTTCACCGACAGCCATTGTAAGGCGTCTAGCATCAAAGTTGAGGAAGTGAATCTATTACATCTCAAAATCAAACGCATTATTTTATTCTGCAAGCGCTGTAATCTCAATATTTGTGTTGCATTGGTCATAAATAAAATGAAAGGGTAAAAGTCTAGATGAGGAGAGATGATTGATTTTTATAGCTGTATTTTACTGGCAATAGTTAAATCGTTTTTTTCAGTCGACATAGAATTCCATACTTCTTGGCAATTTTCTTGATGACATTGTCAATATGAGAGTTGAACTTAAGTGTGTCATCAATAATCACGCCAAGATATTTAATCTCCCAAACGCGATCAATAGTCTCATCATCAATTACAACAGAGACGTTCTCATTTACTCGATTCCGCGAAATTACCATAAATTTAGTTTTACTTGTATTCAATTTTAACTGCTTATATTTCAACCATCTACTTAGAGAACACAAATCTTCATTCAAGTGTAAAACGGCATCATCTAAATCATTAGCTGCAAAAAGATTAATGTCGCAAAATCGTAAAACACGTCGCAAGTAATTAATATACATAATAAATAACAGGGACCTTAATACACTTCCCTGGGGCACTCCAAGGTTATTCCCCACGAGACTGGAAACAGATTCATTAAAAACAGTCCGTTGAGTTCTGTCAGACAAATAGCTTTCAAACTATTTATATGCAGTACTCGTAATTCCAAAGCGCTTGATTGATCTTAACAATAAGGGCCTAGAAATGGTTTCAAAAGCGCGTTTAAGATCCAAAGATTGAAAGTAGAGCTGTTGGGATTACAAATTATTTCTTGGGACATTTCAAAAGTTACTGGGAGGTGATCAGAACCGAAGTCAGCATGGGTAACCAATTGGCTACAAAGTTGAC